CTATAGTAAATTCCTGTAAGTTCCTCGTTTATTCTCTGTTTCCAGAGAACGATTTCTAGTGCTGTCGTACAAGGATGAAATGGATGCCGCCGTAGCTCAGCTATCGCACTGGCTTCAGGAAAATAAGCTCAAGGTTAGTTGCCTTGTTGTAGTCTCGAAAGCATTGAGGTTGTCGTGACATATGGGAGGTGTATGTCTGAAAAAGGTCCCAAGATTACAATACACAGTAGAGATAACAACAATAATATTAATTTTGGTTCGATTCCATATAGTATTTTGATGACCAAAGTATTTTTATAAAATTTGCGTTCAGTTGAAAACTTACTTGATTTCGCGTTGTAGTTTTTATAACTCATAACAATGATCGAGTGTAAGTATTTGTTCAACGGGCCTCAAAGGGTATTTTTCGAAAAACTAGTTCAGTTTCCATTTCGCGCGCGCCGTTGGAGGGAAAGCAAATGAGATTTTGTATCCTTTCTGAATGCTCGCTTGTATTGGAACGGAGAAAAAAGAGCTGTATAGTGACGTTCGAAAGCACTGCATGCTGGCTAACGTTTCTGCGTTTATGCTCGTTTTCCTGGGAGGGGTTCAAGGGGAGGAAGTTTTTCTGTGACGATTGGTCTGTCTCACAATTGATAGATTGACTTCCGTCCTTAGCGCCCCGATAAAGACGAATCCGCAAAAAAAACAGCCATTGAAGATTGATAACGATTTCTAGAGCCGTTTCAGACCAGCACTGTTCACGTAGCAGGACCAGTCCTTGGAGTTTTTCGTGAAAATAGCACCCTTGACGTCATAGGCGGTGTATTATCGATGCGCTATCACTAAAATATGAGGACTATTGCGCAAGCGCACGTCATGTTTTGTGATACGAGTGACATCTGATACTTGAACGAAGCATGTGCTTCGTCCCTTTTTTCGGGGCTATGATGTTATCACCGCGATGTTAGAGGGGATATTACATGTTTTTCAACCTGCCGTGGGCGAGATCAAACAGTCAGGCTGTGCTAACCATAAGATGGACGCAAAAGGTAATTCAATACCTATTAGTAGTCGAGATGCAGCTGAAGCTAACACACAGAATACATCGTTTGATCATTGTTCAAGGGTAGCGCTGTTCTCATAGTAATGAATTGTGGTTTCAAATTTAATGAACTTCAATCTTTAAGGTGAAGGAGACGATTTATGAAGGTCTGTGTAAAGCTCCACAAGCCTTCGTAGACATGATGGCTGGCAAGAATATTGGAAAGATGATTACGAAAGTATGAAGAAATTTGGCTGTATGCCAGGTGATCTTCAAGAAGTGAAGTACTATGCTCAAATCGCCATTTTTCTTTTTCCACTTGACGATTTGGCTGCTTCGACGCTGTGGCTGGGTCCGCTCTTCTGATTCCCCGGTTCAATGCTAATTATCCCGGTTTAATGCTTGATCAAGGTAGGAACCAACTATCTTTAAATTTGCAGCGTGTCAAGCCAAGGTTGCTTGAGGCGTCCTTTAGGGCGTTCTCCGAGCACCTTAAGCCGGTGACGTGCTTCAGCGCGGAGTAGTGGGCCATACCACCAAAGACGTGTTTTTCGCATTCATCGACTATGGGGGCTACACCGAAATACTTGCGTATGTCATCGTTGCATATCCGATCCATACGCTGACACCGGCCGTCCAACGTAGCATTTTCATCTCCATCACACTAAGGCGGGCTTCGACTTCCTTGGTTGCAGGCCAGCACTCAGCCCCGTACAACGCTACTGGTCTGACCACAGTTCTATAATCTTCGATTTGAGGCGCTCTGGTATGGTCTTGTCACAGAGAACTCCAGTCATCGAGCGCCATTTCGCCCATGCTGCACTCACGCGCGAGTTCACCTCTGAGCTCAGACCGTCATCGAACACAGCATCCGATCCAAAATACTTGTAGGCTGTTCTGCATGTGAGCTTAATGCCTCTAATCCTCATGGAATCAGACTTGTCTAGTCGGTCGTCAAGCAGCATTCGGTTTCCTTGATGTTCAACTGGAGTGCGAAATTTGCCAGGTGATCAGACCAGGTCTGCATTTGTTGCTCGAGTCCGCTCTTATCTTCACAGGCGAGCACCACATCATCTGCGTAAAGAAGAATCCAAGGATTTATTTTTTCAAAGATCTCGTAAAATTCGTGACGACGAAGTGGGAAGAGCGCAGAGCCTTGACGTACCTTGAGCTGTAATTGGAGAACCCCTAAGGTGACTTCGGTGTTTGCAGGCGACCTTCTTCGAGCTGGAGCAGCAAGACGCGCACCCGCTCCAGTAAGCTCCTTCGAGGAGGGTGTTGCCGCCAGGCGTTACCGTGTATACTTCACGCTGAGAACACACGATCGAAGTGCCTTATGAACGCGTCCAGAAACGTAATTCAATGGCTTATTGCCTCCCACGATGTCTCTCACAGCAGAAGCGCGCGCGGCACAGTTTCGTCGATGCGTGGAAGCAAGGCGATTGGACGGTAGTTGACAGTCTACAGAGTTGCTTTTGTTCTTTCCAACTCGGAACGTTCTATGCTCGACTTGCCAGTCCTTTGGGCGTCTTTCTTCTTTACTTTTTCTTCTTTTCTTCGTTTTCAACGCCTGATTGAAGAAATTCGTCGACCATTATGCAGAGTACCAGCACCGTGACTTCCCAGTTTGGCCGCCATGTCTTCAGATCTGTTGCTGCTGCCGTCTTCGGTCCTTGTTTGAGAGCAGCTTCCGCTTCGACGTTTTTTTCTGCGCAGGATGGGCGTACGGCGCCATACTGCAGGAGACAAATGGGTAAGTGGGTGCTGAGTGTTGATATAACCTACGGGTCGAATTCTCCGAAGAAGCCATAGCCTTAGGTCCCTCTTTTGGTCCATCTAAGGCGGCGAGACGCTCGTCCTTGATGCTAGGAGATTTTTCTGCATCTTCGGTTTAACGACGTCGAGTCTCGGCAAGTCGATAATGGTGACGCTCTCCATTGCGTGAATCCAGTTCCTTACTGATATGTTTAGATTGATGTTTTCGCGGTAGCCCCAGCCCTGTTCGTCTCTCTTGGCTATCATCACTTCCGCGACCTGTCAGCTGACTTGTCATGGAGAAACGCGTATTAGCATCTCTTTTTCTCGCGCGCTTCTTTGATGCTGTCGGTCCATAACCTGGCTGCTTATAAATTTTACCCCCTTCCAGACTTCGTGACACCAAGTTGAAGGGACCGCTCGAAGTGTTGCTTTGGTACCTTTCCAGGTCTTCTCGACAGTCGTGGGAAGTCGAATACGAGTGATTACAGCTTCCTCCTTGGACCTGGGCACGTTCAAGTTAGTGGTTAACGTTGCGTGGCAACTGTCTCGTACGGCACAGTCTTCGCATCCGTGACGAGCCCTTGGTCGCGGTGTCTAACGAGGAACGAAGTCGTTCTGCGTTCTGGTATTCATACTGTAGGAGCTGAGAGCTGATAAGCTGGGAGTCACGTTTACAGAAATTGTTCACGATCGCGTGATTATAGGCTTTATAATCCAGGATGTGCATGCCATCTACGTGACGTGCTCCATAGCCGCAACCTCCAACCTACAAATGTAGCCGTCTCGCAGCGTCCTCATGCCCATACAACAGACCAGCGGCAAGCACGGCATCTTCTGACGGTATATCGACTGCATCACCCTCGAGCAGGGAACCGTACTCGTCCTTGAATCGCTCGGAGTATCCCGCTTGTGGAGCATACGCAGAGAAGAAATAGTACAGTCTTTGTTCGACAGCAATAACAGTTTTCTTCAGGCGTTCATCGGAGCGTTGTACGCACGCTCTCAAGTTACGGAGACGTCTAAAGACGATTGCTAGTCCTTGGTTTGCTACATAAAAGGGATTTAAAATCTCGACAATATCTCTTAACTTGCAATTGGACCATCTTGTTTCCTGTGCAGACCTCTGTTTGACTGCGTTCTAGTGCCTGCCTGCCAACTCACATGTGCGTCCCGTCAACGTCTCAGCATTCGACTTGGCCGCACTGACCTTTTCTACATTGCATGAATTTCAGACTAGCTTAGTTGCACTCTGCTGTCATTACATCATGAACCCTCCCATACTGTCCATATTTGCCGGGCTGTGCGAGTGCACGTCGGCTCCCGCGGGCGCCGTAGCATTAACTCGAATTTAAAATGATGTGATTTAACCTGGGTGTTAGACTTGGGTGTTCGTAGGCCGGCCCGTCACGAAGGCCTGTCACCTGCTTTCGAGTGTCCGCGTTCGGCTCAGCCCGCAGGAGCGGGCAGTTCCCAGTGGCACCACGCGGAGGAGCGGACTTCACACCTTTTAATGGATGCTTGATATAATAATTTCTTGTATTTAACGGAAGCCTGATAATATTCGAGTTTTGTCATAAGTTTGAATGCTCTGAGCATTCTGGCAATAATAGTCGTTGTTGGGCTCTAAGAAGGTATTATGTACCGCGATGCACTCTGTTTCGCTCCGAAGGGCATTTTTCTATTTTGTGCAGAGCAGAGAATTGATTGTAGACTCATTTTTCTTTGGATCATTGTGAATATTTGTTTGTATTGTAGGTACTACCTATGTTTCTCAGTTTCCTTTTCTATGACGTGATCATAAGCGAGTATACTGACACTTTTTAAATGATGTATTGACATTTTTATATGCAGATGCTTATTTTTATACTAATCAATGCCGAATAGTCTTTCTACAACGTATGAAGGTGGATGTGCTTATCAGTTGATATCGCATGTGTTTGTTTTTCGATAAATATTTCCAATTTATTGCATTGCTTACTCTCCCAGCGTAAATATCAACGTGTATTTCAGAAATATATTGACTTTCAAAAGAATTGAGCAACGTGTTAGTGATGCTTTCCAGAACCGTGACTACACGTAGGAATTTGAGTCACTGGAATTTAGTCTAGTAATGGAGGTACTGAATGGTCAAATTACACTCCTTACCAACTTCGAAGTCCTGCAGTTACTTAATCAAGTGAAGAAACAGGAAGACAAGAAGCCGAAGAACGATAGAAGCAAGCATTTGTCTACAGTATTATATGAGGTGAGTGAGAACTCTTAGGCGCTGTCCTCATATACTGGGACTTCTGTTGGGCTCAGTTCGGCTTGGTGGGGGCATTTTGCTGGCTCCCATTGTTCACTACAGACGCCTTCTGTGGAGACGTGTAAGCTCTTGTAAACTATGCAATAGCCCGAGTTTCGCACACCTGACAAAAGTTGAGTGGTGAGACGTGAAAGTGAAAGTAATCCGGAAAAGAAACTGGGGAAAGGGATGTCCCCTCCTCCCTTTCAAATCAAGCCGAACAGCGCTCCGTTTGTGCAAATTTTTTGACGATTTACGGTCATCTCAGTTTTGCGCAGGAAATGTCAAGAGCATTTTGCTTCCTTTTCACGCCATCCCCTCGTTCTCTTTGCTGAGCAACAACTAGAGTAGAAAGGTGCTATGAAATACAGTCATGATGCCTGCAAGATAGGGGTGCGACGGGTTTGTGGCTTAGAATGCAGCCATGGGCAGGTTTCCTACTACTTTTAGCGGGCTCAGGATGGCATCAGTGGTGGGAAATGGTCGCCCGTGGCGCTTAAAGACAATCTCTGCTAGTACACGGTCATCCTTCCTTGTGCAAGTAGTACAGCCCCCAAGCTAGAAACTATCCCACTCTCGCGACTCCACAACGAGCGAGGAGCAAGCTACAGCCGCTCAAAGTTCTAGTTCTAACGCCCGCTCAGTTGGACCGCCTCACTTGCTAGATGCCCTCCGAGGGCCGCTCAGTTGTTCTTTGTTGGGGCGGCGGGCATTAATCGGCATTCATGTCCTTTTCGCTGACCACGCTCGTGCCCATAAATAATTCTGCTTTCCTTTATTACATTTTATTCATTAGCAGCACATACTG